AGTTTAGAGGCTTATGTAATAATGTGGCGCAGTCTATACATTTTTTAGCAAACAGTACAGATTATTAGAAACTAAAAGTAATGCTGTAAATTCTAGTTTTTGTCATATTTGCTTCTGGATAACTTGCAGATTTAAATGAAAATATGAAACGTGGACAATTCAGGTCTGTGTTTAAGTCAGCTGTGAACCGTCTTCTACTATAACGGTGAAAATGCCACGATATCTGAATTCATGCCCGTGTTTGCCTGTGTGCATGTAGCCATATGTGTGTCTGCATGTTGAGTGGGGAGCCAGGGTGCTGTGAATAATTCATGAGGTCGTAAAGATGACTTTGAGACAGTGGGAGTCTTCATTCAGCCCCATCTCTGATTCTGTTTCATCATCTCTTTGCCAAGCTCTCTATCATTGATGAGAAACAAGGGGCCACGTGGCTCAGCCAGGAATCCTCAAAGAGAAAATCTCTCGGGCACGGTTACTGGAGAAAAGACCTGTCGAATTATTGACCCAATCGTGTTTCACATACCACTGGTCCTCTGGGAGCTGTTTTCTCGACATACAGAAGCTACACTGAAGCACTTTGGTTGAAAATATGGACCGTCTGACTTTGACGTCTAGTAAAGCTTAGCTTGAGAAGCCTGAAATGTTTCTTAAGCTCCGACAACTGAAGTCCAAACACGTGTCTGATTACCTGCTTTTAAAATATGGAGAATCTAGTTTGTATCCATTTAGTCTTCATCGGGGAAAACTTCAGATTTCTGACCTGGCGGAGGCCTTCCTGATTTCTTAGGTTTTTGCATGCTTGCATGTTTTTTAATGATGATGTCACTGACTTTGTTTCTCAGCTGTTTCTTTAGACTGTGGCTGCTTTTTGAGATCCTTGGCCATACTTCACTTTATCACACAGGTTTTATTTTCCATGTGTCTAAGTTCTCAGTCATCCAGCTCGTGGTAGATCTTAAAAAAGAAGGCAACCAAAAATGTTACTGAAATGTCTTCATAAACTCTAAGAAGACATCTACTTAACAGTAGTGCCGTATTTTTCGGACCATAAGGCGCATTAAGCAAAACAAAACAGTCAGATAAGTCAAACTTTACTCAGCTCATTCTTCTTGCTTCCTCCACTTCTGTACCATTGATTCATTAATGCTGAATTCTCTCACAGCTGCTCTATTCCCATGTTGTTGCAGTATATTAATGACTAACCTCGTATTGTGGATGGATTATCTCAGTTGTTCTCCTGACTGAAGTTTGGTCCGTTTACAGCATCCTGCCATGCGATTGCATTTGTCTCTAACCATCAGGAACCCTCACGTTAACTTTTATTGAGTGGAAAGAAGTTAGAGTTCATCCTCCAGCTTCACTGTGTTTATGCTATGCTTACATAGCTGTGTAGCTTGTGATCACATAGCACATGATTATATAGAAGCTAGCCCAACTTCAGTAACCCTACAAACGTCACTGCTGTTTAGTTTTCTGTCTTCATTTATGTTGGAGGTGATAGCAGAGCTGTACGTTTGAATTGTTTCAGAAATCTCTCAGTGAGAACATGCTATATCATGTTTAGGTATCATGCTATATCAAGCTAGCGAGCTAACTTCCTGCTAACTTCTAACTCTGTTAAATTTAATAAATTCTGTTTTCATGGATGCCTGGATGTTAAACTTAATTGTTACACCTGGTAAAGCAGCAACACTGATCATTTTATTAAAGATGAAAGAATTTAGACAGTTTTTAACTCTCAGTGATGCTGCAGTGTTGGTTTAACTTTGGGACCTGAAGATGACAGAGTTTAGGACCCAGATTCCTCCGTGAGGCTCCTGACTACGGTAGCCGTAATGCTCCGACAATCCATCAAGCGGTGGCTTCATAGCTTAGCAAAGTCATACTAAAACATTTTTGACAACGCCATGTAGCACATAAAATCGGTTCGGGGTCAGTAAGCACACCCAGAATTCATAAATAAGGCGCACTGTCAATTTTTGAGAAAATTAAAGCATTTTAAGTGCGCCTTATTGTGCGGAAAATACGGTAGTAATCAGGGCTGGGTGTGGCAAGAAAACTCAGCTTAGCAATGATGTTTTCACTGAGAGCCAGGTTTAAAGCTTTATTTCCCTTAATAAATGAAATCACAATTTAAACTTTGTGTTTACTCGGGTTATCTTTGTGTTAGATTAAGATTTGTTTGATCTGAAATATGCAAGTGTGACAAATAACAAAAAGAAAATCAATAAAAATCAGGAAGGGGATAAATACTTTTGTAATGTATTTGTCAGTACAGTTTGTGTTCCCTATAATGTTCCCTGCATGAATCAAACTGCATGAGAAAGATTCAGTGCCAGAGCCTCCCCATGAGCACTCGGAGCAAACCTCCGAAGACACTGTGACAAGAAATAGATCATTTTGAGAGAAGCTTGCAGATGCTGTCACATCTTCTGATTGATAAGTAATCAAAGCAGGAGGCTGCTTGTAGAGGGAGCAGCGACCAAAACCATTTAACATCAGCGTGTCAGAAAGTAAGGGCAAAGATGAATGGGGAGCAGACTGCTGAAATGAACTGCTTAGTTTGAATATGAGTTGTGATCAGTGTCAGCGACAGCAAGTTGTGATCTACAGATGCCACCAATGCCGTGACAGTGTTTGCTTTATCTTGGTGCTGGGACTGTATGTGTTCAATTCTGTGTGTGGTAGCTGGATGTACTGGACAGACTGGGAGGAAGATGAGGTCAACGACAGCATAGGGCGGATAGAAAAGGCCTGGATGGATGGATCCAACCGCCGCATATTCGTCACCTCCAACATGCTGTGGCCCAACGGGCTGACGCTGGACCACAGCAGCAGCACGATGTACTGGTGCGACGCCTACTACGACCACATCGAGAAGATTCACCTAAATGGGACAGGAAGAATGGTATGTTACAGGCTTTCTTCTCAGGTGGTTATTAAACCGAGTTAGTCCACTTCTGAGGTGTAACAGAGGGCCAGAAGGTGGACTTTAAATCACGATTTAAGTTCACGATTGGAATCGTTTGTAGACCAGCTCATTCTTATTTTTTAGAGTAATAGCATTTGGAAGGCAGTTTGCTTAACGTCCAGCTACATTGTTGCCATGTTAAGGTTTGATCGACTGTGGATGAAAGCATCTGTCTCCTCTGGTCAGTTGTAAGGCTGTTTTCTGCACACGCTTCTTGCATTTCAGGGTTAGTGTCGTATGTTTGCAGCAGTGCGACGACTGAAACCTGCTCCTCTTCCCACAACAAGCATCCTTTCATCCCTATCCGCTCATCGACTCTACTGGCATATCACGCTAATTAATTATTTGCAAATGCTATTTAATCAATGCCAAGATTCTAGCAAACATTATTATAAGCAGACGTTTCTGTGTGAATAAATTTGTGCAGTGAAATTGAATCACATTCATCATATACTGCCATCAAATAATCTTTAAGCCTGTATTCAAACAGCTAGACGCCCGTTTGAGATGACTGATTCCTCTGACGGTGTCTCTCTGTAGTTCTGACCTCGTGACCCTACTGACTGTTTGCTTCATGTTGCAGGTGGTGTACAGCGGGAAAGAACTAAACCATCCGTTCGGAATCTCTCATTACCGCAATTTCATCTTTTGGACCGAGTACATGAACGCTTCGGTGTTCCAGCTGGACTTGACCAACGGTGATATCACTCTGTTGCGGAGCGAGAGGCCGCCGCTGTTCGGCTTGCGTGTCTACGATGCGCAGAGTCAGCAAGGTTGGCTGCTTTCTCTTCATGTAGTCGTCATCCCACCCTGACGCAGAAAGTGGCTGTTTTGCACTGGAAAAAGAACCTCCCCCCTCCTGTAAATTCAGACATTTATAGCTCCTATAGCACTTTCCTTAATGGAGAGCACTTTCTAAGATATATACACCAGAAAGTTGCGTATATGCCTATTGCTCTCAAATTTCACGGTATAAACCGGCACATTGATCAGCAGTGACAGTAGCTTTCAAATCACTTTGGGCTCCACTTTATGAAGTTAAATAAGATGACCAAGGTTTGGATGTCTTTGCTCTCTTCTGTAACAAATGATGATGGATTCCCGCTGTTAGCATGCTGAAAAGCAGAGATAGCAGAGGCATGAAACATGTCAGCAGAGAGCTTCGCTGGGCCTCGCAGGACGTCTTGCTTTTTGCTTCACACCAGGTCAATGTTGACCGGCTGTTGTGTTGCTCTGAATGCAGAGGCCATTGCAGTTAAAATTCACTGTACTCTAAAAACTCACACTTGGACATTAAAGTGGCTGGCTGCTATATGCACAGCCTCGTTCACGCCATGCAGAGACGTTTCTCTTTTGTTCATGCCACTGAATAGATTAATTGGCTGTCCGGTACTCTGAGTATTACTGATTGGCTCTTACAAAACCCAAAGCTTTATCTCATTGGCTCAGGCACTGCCTTTGGGTTCTGTGTTAAATGAAAGCGACAAAGGTGTCTCATGCCTTAACTTGATATGTGACTTTTTTCAATTGGAGAATGTCAGCTTTGTCCTGAAAGACAAATTATTCCTCAGAGAATGATAAAAATGTCAAATGTCTTTCACCCACACCGTTCCCAATAATTCACCTGACGTATGCTTATAGATCTCGCGGCATACACCTGGCATGTCTCTCTATGTGGGGGAAAAGCTTTTGTACAAATGAAATGATTTATTTTGCTGCATTTAAAGGGTTTCCAGAAACTCTGATCTTTATTTCACAGATGGGAAAAAAAAGGGGAAAACCAGGATAATACGGAGCTTAAAGTCAGCTTAGAAAATGTCGCTTTAAATGAGCAAGACGCCATGCTGTGTTTGGGTTCTGTTTCTCCAGGTGACAACGCATGTAGTTTGAATTATGGGGGCTGTACTACCCTCTGCCTCGCCATCCCAGGAGGGAGAGTGTGTGCCTGCGCTGACAACCAAGTTCTGGAGAAGAACAATGTCACCTGTGCAGGTAGGAGGACGTAATGAATCAGACGAGCCCTAAGATCAGGTTGTCCCAGTGTAGTGTAATCCTGCCGCGTCCTGTGGGACAGGCTTCTTTTCAAATCTGCAAATAAACAAGTAAATACAGCTGAGGGAGGATCCCAGTGGGTTCCCACGCATGTACACATGAGGTTATGAAACATTAACACATTGTGCATGCTAGTTATTCGTTTTATATGCCAATATTTTCCCCATAACACATATTTCTTAGAAGGTCCGGGGTTAAAATGACGTTTTCTCACTTGTGTCTCTCTCAGAAGCTTCCAGCAGTAGTTTAGAGCCACAGCGATGCAAAAGTGATGAGTTCCAGTGCCGTAATCAGCGGTGCATTCGGGCCTTGTGGAAGTGTGACGGAGATGATGACTGTCTGGATGGGAGTGACGAGGAGATCCAGAGCTGCTGTGAGGATCTCGGAATTAGTCTGCAGGCAACACACTGCACGCTAGCATGAAAAATGCACTGTCTGAACAGACACTGTACACAGCGATGCAGCCGAGCAAGCAAAGCCTAAGCTTTTCAGGGCTAATTCCCTCTGGCTGTCAGCTGCTGTGTTCTTAAATGTCACTGAAGTCGGGGTGTAAAGTGCTCCCCCTCCTCCACTTTCTACGTGCTTCCTTCTACAAATCAGTCGTGTAAACTCGATGTTAGATGGTTATACATGGATTTTATACTTTTTATTATTATTATTGTGTTTCAGATGGCAGCAGCAGATCTTAAATACAGACCAGCCCAACACCTCCACTCTGTGTTAGTCATGAACTTTGCACTGGGTAGAGTTACAGCATGCAGAGAAACACTCTCATTTCTTTAGTATGATTAATGAGCGGTGAGGCTTAATGAGTTAGAATTATCAAAGTTAATGTTAAATATTAGCACTGATTTTTTCTCTTTTTCATGATAAAGTCGCCTCAAATAAAACAAAAATCAGGCACTAAAACCAAAACCAACCACAAATACACTTGAGACCACTAAAGATGATATAGAGACTCCATTACTCTCAATTAAAGGACGAACCACCAAGGAGAAACATAAATGAGATTCCTCACACTCTGAAACATTATTACTCCTTTTATCGTTTTTAGTGCGTCTTGTTGTTGTATTAGTATGAAATTAGTTACATTGTGACCTTAATTAAGTCTCAGTGAAAAGCTGCAGATATACTGTATAAACACAGGAAAGAGGTCCGATATTAAATAATATTGAAACTGAGACTCTGTGACTGTGAAACACTGGGATATGCCCCAAGCCGGTCATAAAGATGGCAGTCAGATCTATTATGTTCTAAAATAAAGCCGATTACAATCTGCTCGTTACTTCAGTGAATTCAAATGTTTTGGCCAGCCGTGTCTGTTAGTGTAGCTCCGCTGCTCTGCTGTTTGACAGCTGGACTTGACTTAATATTTATACTTTGTCAACTTAAATAATATGAAAAGAATATGAAACCATATGAAACCAAAACTACAAAGAAAGCTGCAGTGCTGATGAGGTTTTTCTAACTTTAAAGTTTTCTCACATTAATCAAATGTGAGTAAACAGCTTGTGAAGCACACGCTACCTGACAAAATGACAATCATGCTTATTTTTGACTGGCACAGTACGGTCTCAGGTTTGGTTGGCGTGCATCAGATAATTATGACCTTGGCTTTTGCAGTTCCCTCCCCTCCAGCTTTATTAAAGACCAAATAACACAATAAAACATCACAGGTTGACAGTTCAGCACCTTTTGAACCCAGACTGCTCTGAAGGCAGGTCACATCAGCGCTGAGTGACTTCGTGACTTCATGACAGTTCTTGAGTGGGTGGTCACTGCAGTTTAGATTCGGCCACATTACAACACTAACATGTTACAACATGCAGTGTTTGTCAGATATACTTCTTCATTCTTGTGTTTGTTCATTTGATTTTATTGACTGATCTACTTTTTGTGCGGTGAACTCTTTGCAGACAACCACACTTGTCCCCTCAATCAGTTCAAATGCAGCAACAATCGCTGCATCCCCAAACGATGGCTCTGCGATGGGACAAACGACTGTGGCAACAACGAGGACGAGTCCAACAACACCTGCTCAGGTACGCACGGGACTGCTTTCACGTCGGGTTTAGATTTGTGGAGTTTTGGATGTCAGTCGTGTGCCATCTGTCAGCGCTGCTCGTCTGTGCTCGCTGGCTCATTTTCAGTCGTTTCACATTTTATCAAATATGATTAATTCTATGAATAAAAGCTGATGTGAAAACGGTGATTTCAGGAAAACGTAGCGTGGTTACAGGTGCTTGTACAGAGGCCTGTTCAGCTATGTAAACTTCGCACAGATTCTCATCTGCACAGCAGGCCATGAAACATTTGTCTCTGACGTCTTTTGATAAAAATGTTCTCACTTCAGATGTGCTTTATTCTCTAAGACTTGAACACTGGTGTCAAGTGCTGTCAAGGCAGCCGTCACTGTAATATTTTGAGGCTGTGAAGGAGCGATCAATCTCATTGTTTAAGGGCGTTCTAGTATCAAAGACTTGGAGCATCTACGAGGACACTTACAGCATATCGCATTAGTCGTACTTCTCTGGAGCTTTTTATCCTCAGAGGATCGATCGATGAGCATTAGCCAGAAGATGACGAATGTTCCCCCGTCGGTGGATTGACACGCGTATCCCACATCAGCAACACATCAGCTGCTGTCACAAGTGTGACCACCAGCACGTAACTGACGGCCCATCAGCAACAGCGTGTTTTCCACGCCCGTCTTTAACGGCGCGATTGAGTAATAAAGGGTTTGCGCCGGCCTTACATTGACATTTGGGTGATCTAGTGACCATTAGAGTTGTTGTGCACCCGCTACACTGACTTATGCAGGTGCGATTGAATTAAGTGGCCTCTTTCTTCTTCCTCAGCCCAGCCCTGTCAGGCAGACCAGTTCTCCTGCCAGAACGGACGATGTATACCTCGCAGTTGGAGCTGTGATCGGGAGGACGACTGTGGGGATAAGTCTGATGAAATATCATGCGGTGAGTCACGCGTGCTTTTCGCCAGACGTCACTCAAACGTCACTCTGTGTGTGACCGAGTACGTTTGTCTTGGCTCTGTTTGATTAACAGCAACATAATGATTTCATTAAAGGCAAGTAAAATCATTTGGGGTCATTTTCTGTTACTTCTCACATTTAATATTAGTGAGATGTTTTAACTCTTTCAGGGCTGTAAATTTAATATGCTGCAATTTCAAAAATCTCTTTACAGATGTCAAATGTATACGATGCAGTTCCCACTTGGAGCTAAAAATATGTGCTAAGCAGTTCTCACTTCATAATATGATACAAGTTCTGCTGTTTTCACATTACTCTTTAATAGCACACCATAGGGGAAATAAAAAACACAAGTAGTTTTAAAAATATAATAAATTATATTTAAATTTTTACAACAAATTTTTACAACAAAACAGCTCAGCCAGTGTGACAGGTATGAAAGAGATTTATGTAAAATAAATCAAACCACAGCTAACAGACCTATGCAGCGTCTGTGCTGCTATACCTACACGGCTAGTGCAGTGTGGATGTGTGTACTGCTGCCTGTGGAGCTGCTGGAGTTCAAAGACAAAGGAAGACTGATGCAGGATGGATAGCAGGAAGCACAGGTGAACAATGTCAGCCAGCTGCCTGCTGAGGTAAAGGATTTTGTTTTAGTCAGTAGCTCCGGTCGGTCGGTGGTCCCTCATTTGATCCCTTTAGTGTGGCTGCTTCCCAAAAGTAGCAGCTTAATGTCCAGGAGAGTTAAGGAGAGTAGAGAGAATGTGATTTTGATCTGCTGGACAGTTTTAATGCAGTTTGAAAACATGAAGGTAGAAGAAGCTCAGAAGACATTTTCCAACTGCAAAATTGTTGAGCATTTTTGTGACGTTTTAGAAAGGCGCTGCTTTATTCAGTGGACAGAGAGACTTGGCATTCAGTTATTGATGCTGTGTTCTCTGGACCAAGACCTAGACATGTCCTCACAAATGGCAGCAGCTTCGGTGGGTGGTGCTGGGTACAGTAGCTCACTGTTCTGTAGTCATGTCTCAGTGGTATTATACAATCTGTCAGCTTCACTTAGGGAAAGTTGTACTCTGTGTTCTGGGCTAATCCTAGAAAGCATAATAAAAATACATGGCATGCCATTATGACCCGAGCGCTTTGAGCGTTTTGAGCTCTTTGAAGATGTATTTAACCTTTTATTGAAGCAGGGGAAAGAATGTCTGCAGCTACAAATTTCATACGTTTTCATCAGCGATGCTGAATTGGAAGCATACGTTTAAAAGAAGGTTTTAAGACTCGCTTTAATCACTATTTGTATGAAATCAGCCTTTAACAGTGATCGATGTTTGCCAAATGCTGCAGCGTGCTGTATCGTCTCAGCCTCCCTTTGTGTGTCCTAAGCCGCTTCAATATGCAGTCACAAACAGCCGGGGTGTAAGCAGTAATTAAAGTTCATGCTCGGCTTCATTCAATCATAATCAAGCTGTGCAGCAAAACATATTCTCTCCCGTACTGCTGTCTGAGCTTCCTCAGGCATTACTTCTCTGCAGGCGCTGCTCTGTGCAGCTCTGGCAGCTCACTTAGCTTCAGTGGAGCTACTGTGGGTTTAGGAACACCTGAAGCTCAGTGGTGGCCGCCTTAGAGATTGATACTAATTTGGATTTTGTTTGTCAGTAGTTTAGTAGTTGTCACACACCGTCTTCTACTGGGCGCTCGGTTCGCTCGCTGCTCTCTTCGCCGACATTATTTATGGATGCCGGTGTTTTATTTTTAACATCGCTCACTGTTTACTCGAAACCTTCATTATTTATGTATGTCTCGTCTTCATTTTTAACGAATGTTAAATTCCAGCCAGGCATGTGCCGTCGCTGAAACCTGACATGTTTGAGGAAAGCATCCTGTAGGACAGAAATATTATCTGTCTCCTCTGCAGCGCCTAAAAGTATTCCAGTCAACAAATCATTTCAAATATAGGCCTGTGTTTTATACTCAGGTCAATAAAGCTTCAGGCATCCAGGATCGTATCTCTGAGTCAGAAACACGGCTGGTGTCTGATGGGAATGAAAATGTTAACCTGACATTGTCACAATGTCACCAGCACACAGAGTCCACCGGAAACTGTTTGATTATTCAGTCTTTTTCTAATTGTATCGTCATGAAACGTAATGTTGAACCGAGAAGGAGCTCTTGGGTTTTTGGTGTTTCTCTGACTGCTGGTACAGTCTGATCTGGGATGTCCACTCCTGGAGGGACTGTGTTAACACTAGGGCTGCCACAAACGATTATTTTGATAGTCGACTAGTCACCGATTATTTTTGC